TTAATGGTGGGGGCAGAAGCCACATCTTAATGCATCTTTTCCAACATGAGCCTCTCAGTTTTTCCAAAGCTTATATTGTCCAAGAACATCTACAAAGCTCTCTTTGAGAAGATTCTAGGCATGGATTCTCCTTGTGTCATCATCAATATTTATTAACTTTCAAATAGATAGGCTTTCTGCATTATTTATTTCTACCTATATTTTTATAGAGTTTTTATTTTGTTTCATTTGCTTTACAAACACAAGGATTAAAATAGTTTGTGAAATGATTCCTGTCTATTAAATAAAAATGGAAACTTATTCTGACCAACTTTTCCACTTAGCAGTAACATTGGTTTGCTTTATTCCCATTCTGGAGTACTGAGTTTGATTTTGCCATCATCTCCCCTACTTATAACATGTGCTGCAAAGGTATCATATCTGGGAAGTATTTGCTCACATTTACTTTTCATCTAAAACCTGTAATCCAGTAAGTCTCAGGTGGTTAATTCCGTAAATGCACAGAAGCTTAAAATTTTTCCCTATTCTTTCAGTGAAAGGATAAAGAAAGAAAAAAATAAAGATGAATTTTGTGACTACTCATTTGGTGTGTGGATAGACTTAATCTCGGGAAGTGTGAGTATCCTCATAAATCATACTGTCAATGTAAGCTGGAGCTGATGGTAATAAGGTAGACCCCATGCAGGATAGGAACAAATCCTGGCTCAAGATTACTGAAATTAAAAGTCTGGTGAGAGGCCAGCAGCTGGTATAGTGGTTACGTTTCTGAACTTTCACATGGCTGATCATGGTTTGAGTCCTGGAACCAGTGGGTTGAAATGACTCCAGGAGTGTGTGCCCAAGATCCTAGGAGAACAGAGGAAAAAGGATTGCAAGCTGGCCATCCTCCCTGAGGAGTGATTTATCACTTTCCCTCTCACTGTCTCTGTCTCTCTCTGGCAAGCACACATGCTCTATGGCAAAAATCTCTTAAAAAAAAAATCTGATGAACTTAATTCCATTGCTCTTACTTGGATTAGTAGCATTTTTATGTAGTGGCCTGGAAGAATAGTTGAAATACTAACCAGATAGACATGGTACATTGAAATTATCTAATATAACACATAGCCACATAGCTGCCACTATCTTTGCAAAAACTTCTTAAATTAAGAAAAAAATTATTATGTTAATATTTTTGAATGACCTTTAATAGGATTTCATGTAATTGAATAAAATAAAGCATCCATGATACAGAGACTTCAACTGTGCCTGCTTCCCCTGTTCATTTTCGGATAATATCAAGAGTAAGAGGGCCTTAATAAGCAGTGTTTGATGAGGAGCATAAAGCCATACACGCTGCTATAAGCCAAAGCACAGTAATAACTATAGTCAAGAGAGAGATAGTGGAGTGGAGGAGGAGGAGTAGCAATACAGTGGCACAGTATGAAGTTAATTCTTCAGGTATAAAAATAGTGTAATGCTGGCATTAATAGGCAAAAGAAAGCTATGAAATTGATCCCTGTGGCTATACTGGAATGAAATGTTCTCTGAAATGTTTGCTATTGTTTTGAAATGAGGTAGCAGCATACATTTAGATGGTGTTCTCACCAAAATTGCATTTAAAACCAATTTGACCATATTTATGTCTTCTAACGATAAGATGTTGAATACTTTATGGGAAAGTAAGAACACTTTCAGTTTAGTGGAATGATGGAGGGTGAATGACTCAGACTGTGTGGGTTCGGATTTCAATCCTATGACTTTCTAGCGGTGGTACACCGGGCAAGTTATTTAATTTCAGTTCATAGTTTCTCTGTTAATAAATGGCATAACAATGGTATCTGTCTTTTGGGATGTAGTGAAGATTAATTGGGATAGTGTATTTTAAGCACTCAATGCATGGATGGAAGTGTGAAGATTTGAGTGTAGTGTAGGTCTCCCCGTCTTAGCCTAGGACACTTAGAAATAATGAGATAAGCTTACATGCACACCTATATTGCTCCTCCCAAAAAGGGCAATGAAAAAGATGAGATCATGGGTACACCATATATATATATATACACACATACACACACACACCAACACTTTCCTGCATGTCCATGGTATTCTTGATAATCAACTATGGCATTCACTTCTCAGCAAAGTTTTGAACTCAGAGTGACACTCAGATTTGCATTCAAAGAGCCACTTATTGTTTTATTTCTAAAATTTTATTTACATATTTTTAAAGTTTACATTTAATCACTGTACATCTCTTTAATGTACTATTTTTTCCAGCATAATACAGTGCACATGGGTCTAGTCAAAGATATTACCATTTATAGTATCATCAACAGATAACTTTTCACTTTTGTGTCTAATAAACATTAGAACCATTTATTTTTTTAAATTTTTATTATTTTATTATTTTTAATTATTTAATTTTATTTATTCATTTATTTATTTTAACTTGGCCAGAGAAGGACACAGTGAGAGAGAGAGAAAGCAAACCTCCAGATCCAGGACTCAAACCACAGTTGGTTCCAGCACTTAATTGCCACACCACATGCCAGCCCCATTCGTTCATTGTAATTCGATCAGACAAGGAGAGAGGGAAAGTGAGAAAACAAGACACCAGGTCTGGGACTTGAACCATGGTCGGCCATGTAGGAGTGGCCAACCATGGTCAACTATATGGGAGTCCAGCGACATAGCCATTATGCTCACTGCTGGTCCCTATTTTATTATTTTTTAATACATTAGATTGCTATATATCATTTGTCTTGCAAAGAGAGAGCCACTTCTAGTCAACTGGTTGGAGGTAACATGCAGAATATTTTTTCTATTTTCAACCCTTTGATAGAAGAATGGAGAAGATAAATATCTACAAAAGAATATGTGTTTGGGGGCCAGCAAGTGGCATGGAGGGTGGATTCCACATGGTTGATTATGCTGGTTGAATGTGGGAGCTGGATCCCACATGGTTGACTGTGCTGTTCAAGTCTCAGATCCATTGGCTTGAAAAACATACCAGACACATATAAGTACATGCCAAAATCCTGAGAGGAGAATGGAGGAGACTGTGGTGGCCTGGCTATCACCCCCAGGGAGTTATTTCTGTTTATCTGTCTGTCTTTCTCTCTCTCTTTCCAGTGATTGTATGTGCCCTATAGCAAACTTAAAAAAAAAAAAAAGTATATGTTTAAACATATTTACATTTTATTCCAAAGGTGCACTGAATATTAGATGCATAATTCTCCTTTTATAGAATTAACCCTCAATGAAAGCTGTAAATAAACATGTTTTATATATAAAGGAAGATGATCCCATAAGTTAAATGAAACTGATGCTTTCTTTCATTTTTGTTCCACTGTAGCCAAATAAATTAACATGTCATATGCACATTTTGTATGAGTACATTTCAAAGCATTTATTATACTTTTATTGATTTTAAATTTTCTATATTACATGTACACTGGCTAGAGTGAGAGACAAAGGATGGGGGTGGAAGTGAGAAAGCATCCTCTACTAGAGGGGGAATGCCATGCTGCCATCCCATCTTTTCCATTCTTTTCTTGGGATCTGAGACATGCATGGAAATGTGCCTAATGTGTTTTTCAAGCTCCAGGTCCAGGACTCAAACCCTGTAGGATCCTATGACCATGTGGGATGCTATCGCCTTAACTACCATACACCCACTGGCCCTGATTACACATTTTATATCTTCTTAAATAGAAGTTGCTGAGGGCCACATTGTAGCACAGCCGTAGCTCAATGTTCTGCAGTGCAGAATCCACATGGGAAGGTCTGGTGCTTGTATCCCAAGATTTCCCTGTATACACCAGTGTGTGTACACATGCCCATAATCTAGACTGACTAGGGGTGGCTTATAGCACAAAGACCTTGTTGGCAGTGCCTGTATCTCTCTCTCTCACACACACACAGACAGAAATAAATAAACTTAAAAAAAAAAAAAAAAAAACTGAAATCACTCCGTATGAGACTTTTTTTTTCCCCCTAATGACCAATCTCCAAGTAAATAATGCCTCTTAAAGATGCTTTAAAAAATGGCAAACTAGGAACTGACAGATGGCGTAATGGTTACATCACTGGACTCCCACATAGTCAACTATGGTTTGAGTCCTGGACCTGGCAGATACATGTGCATGCATGCCCAAAATTCCAAGAGGAGAAAGGAGGAAAAGGGATTGCAGTGAGTCATCTCCCTGGTGGGGGTGAAGGGTGGATTTCTCACTTTCTGTCTCTCCAGTGAGCACACGTGCAAGAATCTCTCCCAAAAAAACAGGGGAGGCAAACAATTATATCTATGGAATTAAAAGAGAACAAGAATAAATGCCAACAGTGCCTAGAAAGATGGAGCTGACAAAACAACAAACTACATTCTAGCTGGTTAAGGTAGTACACAATTTTAAAAATGTACAGTGGGAAATAGTAATAGTTATGAAGGAAAATAATGAACCTGCCAAAGACATGGCCCCAAATAGCGAAAGAATCAGTCAGGGTTGCCCTCTTGCTATTAGAACAATTAAGACCGTAATTTGGGAGTGAGCACTATGTATAAAATGGAAAGCACTACTGTCTCCTTCTTGTGAATAAATCAATTTATTAAGTGGCTCCCAGATGATTCTCTACTTTGAAATCACTGACCTACTATGACTGGGAAATGTCTTTTCCCCCATGGACCCCAAGAGCAAGCATTACCCTTTACTGAAATATACATAACCACCTAAAATAACAATGAAATTTTAACTGGATGAAAATATTAATACAAAATTAACAACAACCTTTTAAAGATTGATCCCTACATAGAAGAGTTCCGATCAGTGATTAAATGAGCCACTTTGTCTAATTCCCTGAAGACTTCTCAACCAGGAAACTCTAACCTTTTCTAGAAAGACAAGTATAGTAACAGGCTATTCAAATGTGCACTGCATTCTACTTCTACCACTTAGTAGCTGTTTGCTGTGGGCAGCTTTCTTAACTCTTCCCAGATGGTTTTTTCAAAAGAAAAACACTTTTACCTTGTGTACACCAAATGACTTATTTCATGGGAAACGACTTGCAAGAAGTAGTTGCGCAAGTGTAGGCCCCATCATCACCCCTGCCACTGTCACAGATAGTATTAAACTGAGTCATCGCTGGAAGTAGGTCGCATCTGTCTGCAGCTTCCTTGTGCATTGTATCTCTCAGCAATCCTCAGCTTAGAACAAAGATCTAGAGCTGGAAATTATAAATGGTAGATGTCAACTCATTAAAAGAAAAAAATTTGTCTTCTTAAAATGGATAAGCTTTGGTTCATAGTGAGTTCCCAAGGATGAAACAGAAACTTTAAGACTTTTACTGGGCTATTGCTGTAAATTAATTCCTGCCATTCCAGCACATCAGATTAGTTACCCCATGATTCACTTCTGTCCCCAATTACCTGCTGAATTACTTATTGAGTGCTGTTATACAACAAATGACCACACTCTTAGCAGCTTGGAACAAAACACATTTATTATCTCACACTACCCATAAGTTAGAAATAAAGAACGGCTCAACTGAAGTCTCTGCTTAGGTTTTAATAAGACCTAAATCAAGGTGTTGTCTAGTTGGAGGTTCTGGGGGAAGGATCTACTTCTAGGCTTATTCAAAGTGTTGACAGAATTCAGTTCCTAGCAGCTGTAGGACTGAGGTCCCTGTTTGCTGGGTCTTGGCTTGGGGCTGTTTTCATCTTCTAGAAACCACTCTAATTTCTCCTGCTGGGCCCCCTTCCTTCTTCAAATTCAGCAATGGTGTCAATCCATCTGGTACATCTGATTTTTCTGACTTCCTTTTCTGGAATTAACCAGAGAAAACCTTGTGCTTTTAAAGGGTTTAACTGCCTGGGTCAGGATCATCCAGTTAACCTCTGTATTTTAAGGCAAACTGACATGAGATTTTATTGGGTCATCGGGAAAGTCATGGTGCATTTTTGCATAGAAAAACAGAAAAAATACATCATGACTTTCCTGATGACTTAATAATTAAATATTCAAAATTCTGTCACAGCAATCCTAGATTCGTATTTATCTGAATGTCCCTGGATTGGGAATCTCAGAAATCCAGCTTTGTACTTCTGCCTCTTATACTTGCACAAAGCTGGATCACCACTTTGTTGTCAACAATGCCACAAATCACACAGATCACCTCTTTACATTCTATATGTGCTTCCAAGTACTTTGGACCTTTTCTTCATGTTGGTTGTCCTTGTCTGTAATTACATACTTAGCTTTATGATTATTTGATTATACTTAGTGTATTAAAGCCATGTCTATTTTTTTCTTACCAATGAACCTTGATACCTAACATATGGATTAGCATGCAATAGGTACTTAGTACACATTTATTAATATACAGGAAAGACAAAATAAGTCAGCAAATAAAAATGGAATAACACTTACTTTAGCTGGATAGAAAATGTCTTATTTTTGACTATATAAATTTGTCAGTCAATTATAAAATGTATTATATGTGGGTTTTGTTTGTGTTTTGATAAAATAACGAATGCCTAGAATGGAAAGAGCATAAATGAGACTTTCCATTAACTTTTCACATAGCATCTGACCCAAGGTTTATCACAACAGATTCACCAATTTAAATCTCTTCGTAATATACAGCTGGAATAATCTTCTGAAAAGTGCAAATCTGATCTTATCATTTGATATCAGACCACAAACTAATACCCCCTCAATGGCTTCACCAGTTTACTTTCCATCTGTTAAGAAGTTAAAAGTCACAATTTAGCTTCTGTTGATCTTTGCATTTTTAGCAACTTCCATTACTACCTCCTCTCCAGTTTGAATTACCATGGTTACATTTGTGCTGGGTTGACTAACATCTCCCATGTGTGCTTGGAACCTAAGGATGTGACTTTTTTGGATATCAGTTTGTTGTAGACGGAATTAGTAGTGTGAGGTGATACTCTATCACCTCCGGTACTCGACTACTCCAGCAACAGAACTTTAATGTCTGCCTCTATCATCATGCAGCATTCTTCCCTGTGTCTGTGTGTCTCCATATGATCCTCTTATAAAAACCAGGCAGACATTGAAGTTCTGCTGCCACACGTTAAGAAATCCCAAAGACTGCTGGAAACCACCAAAAACTAAGGAAAAGCAAGAAAGGATTCTTCCTTGAATGCTTTAGAGGAAGTATAGTATCACCAACACCTTGATTTTGAACTTCTGTTTTCTAGAATTTTGAGAAAATAAACATATGCATTCTATATATACTTCCATGTTGTACTTGAAACCACCAAGTTGTACTACTTTGTGACAGCAGCCCTAAGAGACTAATAGAAAATTATTCTCTGGCCCTTTGTGAGTTACGTTATCTTTTATTCCAAGGGTTTAGCCCAGGCTTTTTCCTCAGTGCCTGGTACTTATATGGGAATGCTGTGTGACACAGCATGCTTATTCTGTGTTCTGTGTCACAGTAGGCATTCATCTTTCAGGCACACCTAGTAAAACATGTACCTCCACTCTGGAGATGTGCTTGACTCCACCTCAGCAATACCTCATCTCTCTGCCTTAGAAGTTTCTTGATTACCGTGTTTCTAAGCTTAAGGAAGAGGGGAAATAAAGAGTAACATTTCTTATGCCATGTTTGTGGTGGAATACTCTGTCATTAGAAACTCTAGCCAGGCATGTGTTGTGGGAGAGAAGAGGTAATTCTATACATGGGCATATGACTCAGATGCCAGAAAATTCTACATTAACACATGGATACAAAAATCAGTGGGAACAGGTACGTTTCTGTGAATCTTCTTTTTTGGCAAAAGTGATTTTGAAGCAACCAGTGAAGTGTATGTCTAGCTTAGTTCTGGGTTTACTGTCCTGCTGACTTGTGGCAGCAGAACTCTGATGTCTGCCTCTAACATCACATGGTATTCTTCCCAGTAATTAACCTGCCTAGCTTACTGCCTGTTTATTGCCCTGGTCAACAATGAATACTGGACTAGTAGAATCTCTCAGGAAAAGCTGAATACAGGTTTGGCATTGAAATTTTCCCTATCTCTTGCTGATTTCTATTCACTCAAGTTTGGACTTAGTTACCACGTGGAGAAGGCTGTCCCTGATGTCATCAGACTGAACTACTTAACTTGTCTTTATGCTCCTGAAGCATAAGGATTTTCCCATGATGACAACTTTAATTGCTTGTTTAATTATCTATCTCTTCCGTCAGACAGTAGTAAGCACCCACCCTGGGTTAGTCCATTCTATGTGGCTAATAAGAGAAATACCTGAGTCTGGGTGATTTATAAATAATTCATTTTATTAGGCTCATGATTTTGCAGGTGTAAAGTCCAGTGGTCACATCTGGTAAGGGTCTTTTAGTTGGAGGAGACTCTGTAGACTCTCAAGAAGTTACAGGAATTACATGGTGAGATGGCAAGAACATGTGTGTCCATGTCCATGTCTCTGTGTCTGGTCGGTTCCCTCTCTTTCTTTTTATAAAGATATGAGGATCAATTCTGGGAGACCCATCCTGATGACTTTAATCAATCCCAGTCACCTCTCACAGGCTCTCTACCCCTTAAAGCCATAGTCCAGTTAAGTCTCAGTCCTCTTAATGTGGACACAGTAAGAACCAAATCTCAATAAATGAATTCTGAGCATGCACATTCAAACCCAGTCATCCTTATTGCTTGGTGTAATGGTAGTAAAAATAACAAAAACACCTGATACGTGTTTAAAGGATGATTGGTATGAGGTTCAGAATAGCATTGTCATTTCTTAAGTAGATGTATGTTTTATCTTCCATGCCATATATAATAAAAATACAAGAACTGTTTCTTATATTGCTGAGGTTGACCAAGTATGTAAGTATATTTTTCAACAGAATCTTTTCCAGATGGCCATCCTTAACACTACTTTACATGCATTAGGTAGCATTAAGTAGCTATTATTATTTTTTAAAAAAAAGAAAAAATAAGTTTTGTCAAGGTTGTGGGGAAATTGGCACCTTTCATGTTACTGAGTGGAATGTAAAATGGTGCATTTGTGGTCAAAACCAGTATGGTGCTTCCTCCAAAAATTAACCCTAAATGATCACATTATCTAACAATTCCTCTTCAGGCAAATGCTCCAAAGAACTGAAAACATGGACCCAAAGGTATTTGTACACACCATGTTTATAGTAGTGTTATTCACAATAGTCAAAAGATGAGAGGAATCCAAGTGTCCATGGGTGGATGGAAGAAGAGATGAGCAAACTGGTATATACGTACTATATGGCATATTACTTACTTAAAGTTACTCAAAAGGAAGGTAATTCTGGCTTATGCTACAACCTGGACAAATCTTGACATTATGTTAAGTGAAATAAGTCAGTAACCAAAGATGAATATCATATTATTCATCTTATATGAGGTACTTAGAATGGTCAGATTCACAAAGAGTAAGATATTGGTCAACAAGAGTGAAGGGGGAAGCCGCGCCCGCCAGCCAGACGACCCGGGGCTCACGCCTGCCCGGGGCGCAGCCGCGCCGCTGAACGGCCGGCCCCCCCTCCTGGGGGGCT